ATTACATGCACATATGTCACCTGGACCTCATCATTCCTCCTTGTAGGAATTGAGACTCAGGCAAATGCTGATATTTTGGCTGCAGCTATTGCTGTGAATAATAAACTGTCCTTTGTTTCTGATCCAGGAGTCTTTTGTCTTCTGCTAGCATCCAAGCTAACTTGTTAACTTGCAAGTTGGATAAAATCTCAAATTCTTCACAATTCCTGACAATCATTAGGTGAATTATCAGAAATGAAAAGCATATCTGTCTAAACACAAAAATGCACATATACATATACAAACATATTCTTCTCATGTATATAGAAAAAATAAGGATAGCTAGATATTATAGCAACAGGAACATTATACCGTAGGATGTGGTGGTAGCAATATTCTACTCATTTATTAAATTGACACTAAAAACATTAGAATGGGAAGCAAACATGAGAATCACCTAATCAAATCTGCTGGCCAATACTAAGAGGTCATGCTGATCTTGCCTACCATTTTCTCTCCAGGGCACGGTAGACTAAATGGGGCAGTGTATGCACTCACCAAATATAAAGCTTAATAAATGTATAAATAATTTATGAATACATTTGTTAATATATGTATACTCTTTACTGCTTAACAATTTCCAAAATAGGGTAGTACTTTTGCATGGGAAATTCTGTCCTTTGCTGAACTCCTTTCTTTGGAAGTTCTTCCTTACTGTATTAATCAAGCTAGGAGAGAGTATTCTGTGATAACATAAAAACTACAAGATATTAGTGAATGACATTACTTAATAAAAAGTGTATTTCTTTTTCACATTATCATTCAATATGGGTCAGGAAGCTTGCCTTCCTGGTGGCTTTCTCTTCTAAGTGATATCTCAGGAATTGGGGTTTTTCTATACTGTTACTCTATGCAGGAGTAAAATGAAAATGGCAGAATTGCCTCTGTTGTACTTAATTTGAACTAAAATTTGATTCTTTCAAAATTAATTCATTGATTCTAAGTCTTCCCTTAGACCAAAACACAACAAATGTTTACTCTTTTCCACATGATATGATAGACATTCAAATATTTATTTCCCCTTAATCTTTATTTTTCCTAGGCTAAATGGTCATAATTCTTATAATCAGGCCACAATGAAATCATTCTCAAATACCTTACCATGCTGATTATTTTCCTATGTCATCCCTTACATTGTCAGTAACATTTAAAGAGAACCGCTAAGAACTGAATACAGTACCTTCGATTTGTCAGACAAACATAGATGAAGTGAGCCTAATTTCCCGTGATCTAAATTCTAGAGACTCCAACACCTCTGGCCTTACGTATTATCTCATGAGAATTATAGGACACCAGGAAGGACAATATTTTTCAGTATTAACTGATGCTAGCCATACCTCATTCCATGTTAGCCTGTCACCTCTCCTCCAATTAGGCCAGTAGACTTCACACAGGCATTGCCTCAAGGGAGAGTGGCAACTATGGAAACTAGAGAAAAAATTCCTGGCTTTTAAGCTTTAAAAAAAAAAAAAAGCCACACAAGAATACCTGAAGATCAAGTTTTTCCTGCCTTTGAAGAGATAATAGTTCTCCGGGCTGGAAGAAATAGGGAGGGGTTACAGAGGAAGCTAGAGAGTTGGACACTGGGGGAGGCAGAGGAGAGCAGTTTTCTGCACCCTGTCTTCTTCCTTTCACCCTCACCTTTCCAGTTGGTTCTGAAAAGGGAGGAGGAACAATAAAAGTCAGTCCTAAATGAAATTTGAAAGGATACAATACCTGTGTCTCTGCCCTTTGTCTGACATGCTGAGGGGCAGCAGCCTCCCAAGAATGTCACCATTGCATGGGAAATGGGTAGAGGCAGCTTTGTGGGGAGTCAAGACCAAGAACTGAAGAAACCATGGCCTCCCCTCCACAGCAGAACCGCCCCCCCGCCCCATAACCTCACACCATTTCGGGAGAAGGGGAAAATCTGAAATGTCCACCTTAACCTGAAATCATGAGTGTACCCAGAAAAAGTTGAGAAAACCTGTCAGTGACTGAGTTTACTGCATTTGACTGAGATTACCTTTTCTGCCTTTAGGAAGACTGAATGCTCTAACAGGGAATAAGTTGTGGTTTAGAAAAATACTATCAACTCTTTAGCATTTCCAAGGACACAACCTAAAAATATTCTGACAACTGCAGATGGTTTGCTTACGAATGGGAAAGGTCCTGGATTTGGATTTAGAAGATCTAAGTGTAAATTACCACCTCTATGTATCTGGCCCCTTTAGAGCTTCCCTCTTAGCAACAGTGTCATCATGAAAAAACATATTCTGATTTTCTTAGAATGAGGATATTAAGTGAGCTAAATGCCTGCAAAATGGTTTTGTGATATTTAAATTGTCAAAAATATATCACCATTAGTCTATTTCTACCAGCTGGTTGTGGGTCTTAAAATTATGCTAGGTTAAATGTAAGTGGTTTGATATAACATGTTGCTATTGAGCATAGAGAGGCACTCTTGTTCAGTGCTTCTCAAATTTTAATGTGCATAGGAATCACCTGGCAGATCTTATCAAAATGTAGATTCAGATTCAGCCCCAGGTTTGGGCTGGGACCTGAGATTTTCTGCTTCTAACAAGTTTGTAGACAATAATTCCGCTGGACTATAGACCACACTTTGAGAAGCAGTGGGGTAGTTAACGACCAGCTTTTGAACATTTCCTGAGCTTGAAGCAACAATTAATATTCAATATTGCACCTCGCACTGCCTCAGAGTAGCTCCCAGATTTCTTTATCTCTCCCATCTGTTCATATCAAGTTCCTCATCTTCTAAGCATATCTGAAATTGGTGATGTCATGACCTGATTATCGAATGCTCTGAAATTTCTTTTAGGGTTTTTTTTTTTTTTAGTATTTGTTATTATCCATAAAGAACATGGTGTGCTTCCAGGGAAAGTCTAAACAAATAGTTCAGTCCTTGAGAATTTATGAGATTTAATCCCACAAAGTTGGCAGCAGACATACCATTATTTCAGTTATTCACTTTTTAAAAAAGATTTTATTTATTTATTTGACAGAGAGAGACACAGCCAGAGAGGGAACACAAGCAGGGGGAGTGGGAGAGGGAGAAGCAGGCTTCCCGCCGAGCAGGGAGCCCGATGTGGGGCTCGATCCCAGGACCCTGGGATCATGACCTGAGCCGAAGGCAGACGCTTAACGACTGAGCCACCCAGGCGCCCCTCAGTTATTCACTTTTAAGAAATGAACAGAATTTATATTTGGATATTATAAGTAAGAAAATGAAACAAGTATTAAGGCAATAAAGATACTGTTTTATTTTGTTTGCTTTTACTGTCTCTATCTTTTTGAGATTCCAGGAAGGTGGTGTATATGGGGGACAGGTTGTTGTCACCATGCTTCTGTCCCTCTGGTGAACACCACTGCTGTCTAGAGTACACAACATCATTGTAGACATTAGAAATGATATTATTTGTTCAACTGCTAAGAAAAAGTTGTAGACAAGAGACTGTGGCTTCCTAGGATAGAATAGGTAAAATCATCCTGAATTGCCAAAATTCCACTTTTTTCAACATCCCTTTTGAGATACAGTATGCACACTGGTTAAGAGCTGGACTGTGGAACCAGATTACCTGGGTGAATAATGGTGAGCAAATCACTGAACCACCTGATGCCTTGATTTCCTAATCTGTATAATAGAGATAATTATTATGTTTACCTCATGAAGCTTTTATGAGAATTAAATGAGTCAATATATATAAAGTGCCAGGCACATGGCAGGCACTATGTAAAGGTTAACTATTGTTACCATTATTATTATCACTACGATTACTTTTACTACTTTATTTCCTTATCCTGATCAAATTTCTGTTATGGTTGGATAACTTTAGGGAATCTATCTCTACCTATACTACCAGGGTGGACTTGATTTTGTAATCTTTTTGGACACTAACCTATGTGGGATGAGTGGCTATAGTTTATTGTCACTGGAGATGATACGAATTTCCTGAAATCTCAATGGATTTTGTGTTTTTCAGTTGTACTACTGTTATACTCTATTAAGGAAACTGCTCACATTAAAATCCTTAGAAAATGAAAAAAAAACAACGTGTTTTCAAAAGTATTGAAAATACTCATCACATCCAACATTTTGTCATTATTCTATAGGCAATACAAAAAGAGACAGCGTTTAAAGACATTATTGTCAAAGAAGGGACTGAAAATTAGGCTAAACAATAATGAAAGGTATATTTTCTAGGTAGAGTTCACATAATATATTCTTAGCGTCCGTGTTCTTCCTATTTGGCATTGAAAGAGACCAAAACAAGAACATTATAGATTAACAATTCCACAACATTCGTAGATCACAGAGTGAGTCGTTCAATTGAAATTAACTACAGCAGGCTTACACTGTACTTACTTCTGGTGCTGTGTGAGTCACCAAAGAAATATCTAACTCTGCCATTTCCCCCATGGAATTTATTGCTTTATCTTTTCATAAGGGAGGCAATTACGGTAACTGAAATGATCAGGGCAAAATAAAGAGTAACAATAATAATAATTACATACAATCAAGCCACAAAATATAAGGTGCAGACAGTACAAATTATAATGGTATAAAAGCAGTCAATTTTAAAATGTTAAGATATGCTTCCTAGAAGAGGTGCTACTTATAATGGGCCTTGGAAGTAAGTGGGATTTTGAATGTACTCCAGGCATCTAAAGCCACCGGGATAATAATGTTAAGATAAGCTCTCCAACGATCTCTTTACATGATAAGAATGAAATAGGCTGTTGGGATGCAAATAAATCACTTTCAGGATTTGAAGTACCATGCATACCTCATTTTTGCGTCAAACACAGTGCATGAAAATTTGGCAAAACCAAACAAACAACAAAAAGTGGAGTAATTTTGTTTGTTTGTTTGTTTCATAAAAGTTATGGGCCTTCAAAGTGGTCCAAGAAGGTTTCCTTAAATGCAAAACCTCTTTGGTGTTTATTAAACATAAATTACTTACAACACTTGTGATTTACTCTCAATGTGCCAGGTTGACACCTCTTGTACAAAGGGACAGCACAGCCCTCGGTGCCATTGTGTGCCTGGTGATCGTGTGGAGTTGTGTGGCGTAACTTTTCCCCTCTGCTTTCTCTCTTCGGAATGACAGCAACATGGGCCTTTGGCTTCATTAATCCTACAATATTTAAATCAAATTATAAAACAATGTATTAAAAATGAGAAATAAATTCAAACCACATTGTTCTGGCTGTTGTGATTTATTAGTCCAACTGGTCTTTGTCTGTGGCTAGGTAGCCCAACAGGTTAGGACAGAGTGTTAATGATGCCAAGATCAAGGGTTTAATCCTCCATGGCTTACTTAGCTTTGTTCCTTCCATGGATAGAACCGTACCCACACCCAGGCCACACTTCATGTGATTGTATTCCACTTGTCAGAGGCTGACAGAGACAAGGTAGTTAAATTAGCCCAGATCAACCACGGCTACCAGGAAAACCAGCGAAGAAACAGACAAGGAACTCAAGGTACACAATGAACTGTCTGTCATTATCTTCCATGAGGACAAATGATTCTATTTCATGATGCAATACGTACGCTTTGCTGATTTTTTTAATACAGGCTAAGAAGTATCTTGATATCTCTTCATCTCTTCTCACTGTTTCCCAACTTCGATTCCTCTATTATTCAATCTCTATAAAATACACTAGATCAGGCGTACTCTGAAATCCTACAATTCCAGGCAAAATTAATTAAAACGAAACAAAACAAACCTCTGCAAAGAGGGCATGTTGACTGTCTCAGGAATACGTCCTAAGTGGTATATAGAGGTACTAAGAGAGGGTCATGGCAAACCTCCCATGTCAGAACTTAGGAAGCAGGTGATGCCATTTGCTATGTGTCACTGCCGAATCAACTGGAGATATTTAAAATCTCACTTCTTGTAAGCAAAGCAAACTATAAGGATTAGAGATAGCCTCATTATTAATTGCAAATAAGTGAAAATTTATCCTCAGAATCTCTAAGTGAGGTCTTCAACCTATAACTAGCACTGTGTGCTCTAACCTAAAGACATTATAAGATGAGTAACTACATTAGAGAAGGGGCCACTTTACTAGATGTTGAAAGCCATCAGGAAAAAAAAAAAGGTGCCACCTTGACTCAGATACAAATAATACCTCAGATACAAATAATACCTGTAAGAAGCACTAAGAAATTCTTACATAGATGTTTTTAAAATACTCAACAAAGAGAACATGCTATTATGAGCTCACCCATCAAATCTTACCAGGCTGAAAGCAAATGAAATAATGCAAAACATAAGAGGCATGTGCCATGCATAACTCTCACGTGTCTGCTACCCTAGATTGTCCTTGAATTCACAGGACTGGATGGTTGGCTTGTGGTGTTTAGATCAGAACTCTTAAAAAGACCCCCACATTTTGTGGGATATTGAAGAAATTTTCAATAATAATCTGGGCTGCATATGGTTTCATTTGCATTATTTATTGACTTTAGAACTCCATATAAGATACATCTCCACTCCATAAGTCTTGGGTTCTGAGGAATGCTCTGGGTTGGAAGCTAATTTTTGTGAGTTATTTGCATATATAGGTGATTTGAAGATGGATGAGATCGCTCAAGATGAGAGGATAGAGTAAGATAAGAAAAAGGCCCAGGACAAAGCAAGTATTGGCAGAGGAAACTGAGAAGGAACAGCCAAAGTGTAAGTAGACAGATTAAGACAGAGGGATGTCATGGAAGGATGTCAAGAGAAGAGAGAATTTTAAGGAGTAATTAATCCTTGATGTGAAAATTTATGAAGCATCAATTAAGATGCAGTTTAAAAATGAACTTTGAGCTTGTTAGCATGATCATTACTGGACTTCAATAAATTTTGGTGGGGTGATGACATAGAAATCTGATTGCAAGTGGAGTCAATAGGGCATGGAAAGGGAGAACATGGAGAAAGTGAATTTGAGGGATTTGAGATTGATGGAGAGGATAGGAGGTAAGAGTTGCAAGAGGACATGGGTAAGCATGCTAGAGAAACATGTGAAGTTGCTGAGCATTGAGGAAGGCCCATTTAAGGTAGGTGATCCTAAAGCACAACTGAATAAAGTGGCTTATTGCTTTACATGTGAGTTTTGACCTTCTGTTTTTATAACCATTCCATTGGTATTACTGGCACCACCCCTAGATCCAGGGTACTCCCCACTGGCCCTCTTCCTAATTATGCCTCTCCTCACAGGTATCGGTAGGGCGAAGGGGACATGCTCACCAAAAGCCCTTCCTTCTAGCTCCTCCTTCCCCATTAAACTATTATATTAGTTTCCAATTGCTGCTGTAACAAATTGCCACAAACTCAGTGACTTAAAACTATGCAAATTTATTATCTTACAACTCTGGAGGTCAGAAGTCCAAAATGATGTAGGCAAGGCTGTGTTCCTTCTGGCAGCTTTAGGGCCCCTGTCTTGCCTTTTGCAGCTTCTAGCGGCTGCCTGTGTTCCTTGGCTCGTTACTCCCTTTCATTTTCACAGTTGTCAATGGCCCATAGAATCTTTCTCACTTCAGATCAACGGGACACAGACTTTTCTGCCTTCTGACTCCTTCTTAAAAAGACCCTTGTGATTACACTGGGCCCACTCAGATAATCCAGGATAATTTTCCTGTCTTAAAATCTACTCATTGGTAGCCTTCATTCCATCAGCAATCTTAGCTCCCTTTTGCTATGTGAAATAAGCATGTTCATAAATTCTAGGGATTAAAGTATAGCATCTTTGGGGGCTGGGGAAACATTATTCTGCCTAGAACCACCATGTTTCTGTACTTAACACCTGGGAAATCCTTGTGCAGATGACCCAAGCCTATTTCCTATGAGCCATGATTCCTAGAAGGGGCTGCATTATTAGGAGGCTCAGCTTAGGCCAGAGGGTGGGTCAAGAATCAGCTATTTGGTGGACTGAGAGGAGGGTTTAGATACACAGGTTGAGGAATTCACGTGTGTGTATTGCAGATGCCATATGTTTTCTTACACTGGTTCCCCAAGTTAAAGACTAGTCTGGCTGTCATCACTCAAAAAAATAAAAGCTGCTTTCCTTTTTGCCTTATCTTATCCCAAGAGATATTGGGGAAAACCACTTCATGTTACCCCTCTAAATAAAGCTGGTTTGGGGATTTCATGTCACCAAATCCCAGTTGTAAAATTGGGAACATTCTAGGAAAGTTGGTGATTGGGGCCAAAAATACAGTGACTATAAACCCCTGGCTCAGAAGCATTGGGAACATTTAGGGTAATTTTGGTATTCTATTGGAACTGCAGTGGCTGGAACAGAAAAGAGTAAGAGGTTAAACACCAATGGGTAAGATCTAGTTCCACATCAGAGCTGAACCAGAAGGGAGGTGGGACAGTTTGAGAGAAGGAAAAGAAAGGATAAAAGGGTAAAATTTCAGGAACTTTAGCTCAAAGTACAAATAATCAAGTTCCATTTCATTATTATTTTATTCCAAGTAATTGTGACACCTCCACATAATAGACATGACAACAAGTACACCAGTGATCAGATCACATTCTCTGATCTGTGTGACTCACTACTGTTAAATGCAATAGGCCTACATTTTTTCTTCCCCACCCCTTTCTGAAACTCCAAGATGACCAAAGAACGATCTAATCTAAAACCTCTTCTTTCTTTTATGTATGTATATGTTTAAATGGATATATATGAATATGCATGCATATATACATATGTGTGTGTGTGTGTGTGTGTATAGGCATGGATAGATACGGTATGTATACATATAAATATACATATGAGCTTGTTTATATAGCCTTAGCATAGGGTGATAGGGAGAGAATGGAACCAAGAATCAAGAGACTTGGGATTTTGCTTTTAGTGTGCCTCCAGTTCTGTAGGAGACGTGAATCAGACCACGTGTTTGCTTATCACTGAAAGATGTTTTAGACTAGATGATCTTTCTGATTCTTTTCTACTCTAAAACCCTGAACATCTACCTGGGAAGTCAGGTACGTTCCTGACAGGAATTATCTTACGTTCTATTAATGATCAAACAAAGACTCCAGCCCTTGACAAGTTATCTTCCCTCTCTGTCCAGTCCATACTTCTTCTAGATTCTAATTCTGGGCAGAATTTTTTGCTAGTCTCTCATTTTTTCCCCATCAGTACAATTTAGAAATGAAGGAAGGTATCAAAACAAAGATACTTCATTATAGAAAGATTTTGCCAAGCACCTCTAGACTTTTGAGTCCGTGGCTTATTAGTATCCAAGTACTACATGTTTGTCATATAATAAATATTTGCAACATACTAAAGGCCATATGGGGAACAAGGAAGATTCAGAAATTGCAGGTATGGATATTTTGGATTTAGTTTTGGCTTTATTTTCTAAGTCAACAGATATATACTGAACATCTTCTAAATGTTAAATATACAAGATATAAATGCTCTCTGCAAATCTAGTGGAGGAGATATATTGAACATGTAATTATATTAAAAACAATGAGCTACAGATAATTAAGTTATTTGAAGATACAGTTGGAAGTGTTAAGAGTTTAAAACAGGAGGCTTGCTCTAGAGGAAAGGGTGCCCTTGCAAACTAACTTTTTGGCCTAATTTAGTCACATTCCACTGCAGGTCTAAAAGTTTCTCGTATCGCAAGAGATCTTCTCATTCTAACATACAGTAGAGGGGCGCCTGGGTGGCTCAGTTGTTAAGCATCTGCCTTCGGCTCAGGTCATGATCCCAGGGTGCTGGGATCGAGCCCCGCATCGGGCTCCCTGTTCCTCAGGAAGCCTGCTTCTCCCTCTCTCACTCCCCCTGCTTGTGTTCCCTCTCTCGCCGTCTCTCTTTCTCTCTCTGTCAGATAAATAAATAAAATCTTTGAAAAAAAATAACATACAGTAGAAATCCTGATACAGGATCTAAAACCATGTTCCATGTTCTGACCTTCACTGATGTGCTTGGATCCTCCATGAGTTTGTAAGCTCCTTGAAGAATTTTTTCTCCTTTTTAAAATACTTTATTCAATGAATGCTTATTAAGCCAGGCATTTATGATTGAGATTCACAGATAAAAAAATCACAGTCCCTGTTCTCAAGTGGCCATGGTCATGTTGGGGGGAAAAAGCAAATAGACAGTTTCAAATCACGTGATTGGTATGGTTAGAGCAAGATTCATTGGGTGCTGGCATTGCCGAAAGTAGAGGTGTCAAAGCTGGTCTTCAGTGGATGTTTTGGAAGACGATCCTCTGAAGAACAGAAAGGAATTAGCAAGTGAAAAAGGTAGAGTGTTTTGGTGCAGAAGTTCTGGTCATGCATGAAAAGGGAAGGTCATAGGAGACACCATGCTCTTTCCTGGAAAGGGAGGTCTCAATTCACGTGGCTGAATGGACAGTTACAGAAGATGGTGACATAGGCAGGGACCAGAATTTGAAGGTTAAAAAGTTGGGATTGTGGGGAGCTATTGTAAAAGTTCTTTTTTAAAGAGGGACAAAACATTATTACTCTGTTGGATTTGCAGTGGCTGGGACAGAAAACAGTAAGAGATAAATTGTGTGAAGCATGGATCAGAAGAGGGTTCTACTTGGGGCCTGGAAATCAGGTAGAAGCTTTCTTCAGGAGTCTGGGTGAAAGATGCTGCGTGAACTAAGGGTTATAGCAGCAGAGATAAATAGACGAGGGAAGAGAGTCAGTAGAAGTGTAAAGTTGGGATCGAGTGGACTCAGGTTGGGGCTGTGGGAAAATATTAGTGCTATCATGACTGAGGTCCCTATGGAACTTCTATATGGAACCATCTAGATAGAAGCCAAATAGGTGAATCTGGAACACAGGAAAGGATGACCAGAGGATGTCAGTTTGTGAAAAGACAATGACAACATTTCAAATAAGTTCATATGTCTTATTGATAGGAATACTTCATTACAAAAAGCCCTTAATAAATATACTTTTAATATTCAATGGATGAAAGAATGAATGAGTGAATAGGAGTTGTTAGGAGTAGCAAAGAGTTCCTGTCAATTACTATAGTTCATGTATTTGAGTGTATAAGTGTGTATATGTGTGAATATATATGTATTTATGTAAATGTGTCTGTGTAGTTATATATGCACACATACACATTCATATCAAGATTAGCATTATATTAATACTGTACATCTCTGTTAGTCTGCTAGGGCTGCCATAATAAAACCACAGGACTGGGTGCCTTGAACAACAGAAATTTACTTTCTGACATCTTTGGAGGCTAAAAGTCCAATATGGGGCTCCTGGGTTGCTCAGATAGTTAAGCGTCTGCCTTTGGCTCTGGTCCTGCTCCTGGGGTCCCGGGATTGAGCCCCACATGGGGATCCCTGCTCAGCAGAAAGCCTGCCTCTCCCCCTTCTCCTGCTTGTGCTCTCTCTCTGTCAAGTGAATGAATAAAATCTTAAAAAAATAAATAAATAAAAGTCCAATATCAGGTTGCCCTCAAGATTAGTTTCTAGTTTCTTCCCGGCTTGCAGACTGCACTTTCTCACTGGCTGTCCCAAAGGCTTCCCTCTGTGCCAGCGCAGACAGGGATCCTGTGTCCCTTCCTCTTTTATAAGGACACCAGTCCTAGATTAGGATCCCACTGTTAGGACCTCACTTAATCTTAATTCCCTCCTGATAGGCCCTGTCTCCAAACACAGTCACAGTGGGGGTTAGACTTCAAACATATGAATTTTGGGGGAACACAATTCAATCCATAACAACATCAGTGCATGTGACATCCAGATCGACTTTTCCTCAGACAAAGGGTAGTCTCTGTGAAAACAAAGAAACTGTTCTGTGTCATAAAAGAGAATCCCTAAATAGAAGGGGAGAGATATACTTGTTAAAGTTCAAAGAGTTTGCTTATTTATAAAGTAATTATAATTATTTTCTACTTTACCTGATTATATAAAAATACAGTTATATTCCTACAAAGAGGAGAGGATTATAAGCCACTTGCAAGTAGATAAACCTTTAATAGCTGAATAGGTTTAATCAGTTGTTATTGTCTATTACTCCATGGAAACCAGGCAGGAAGAGCCAGAAAAGGTTGACGTCCCACAACAATTTCTTATCATGAAGGTGTAAACTTAAAGCGGAGATCACTGGGTAGAAAACTCTGTTGCATTCTTGGCATGTGCGCACTTGTAATAAAGTTAACTTTCACTTATGGTTATATTTAACGTAAAGGCTAATCCCAGTTTACTTTGTGCCTGTTCTGTTTTACCTCTTTGCACACTTGGCCTTCGTTTAGCCCTGGCCTCTGCGTTGGTGTTTCCCCCCAGAAGCTCCCTGGGTTGGGCAGCCCCCGCCCTGACAGCCAGGTGACAGAGACGGGGTGGAAAGCCTGCGCTCCGAGGGCGCGGAGCCTCTCGCGTACCGTTCCGCTCCCACCATCATCCCGCTGCCGGAAGGCGGAGAGCGCTTCAAACTTCGCTCCAATCCGCAGCCGGCCTTCCCCGGGGTCCCCCGCTGGGCGACCCGCCCGCCGCGGACCGAGTTGGAGGAACTTTGCGGCGCTCGGCGTCAGAGCCTGCGGCGGCGAGGTGCTCCCCCTCCTCCCCAGCGCCCCCCTCCCTCTGCCCCCGCCTCCCGGTCCTCGCCCAGGCGCGAGCTCCGGTGATAGGACGAGCCCCGGGCTTGCATTGTGTATATGCAAACCAGAGCCCCGGCTCCCCAGGGCTGCCCAACCCGGCCGGGGCTGCGGCTGCGGCTGGCGCTGCGGTGGGCGCCGCTGTCCTCGCCGGAGCCGGGCACTGTCATGCCCCCGCCGCGCGGCGGGCCGCTGCGTCCCGGAGCCGCCATATAAGCCCAGGCAAGGGGACACTCGGAGGGGCTGAAGATGAAGGTGCCCGCGCATGGGCCCCCACTGATTGCCAAGCCCTCCCGAGCCCGCGCCCCGCGCGGAGCCCGCGGCCGCCGAGGACCCGCCTTCGCCGCAGTAGCAGCTGGAGCAGCGACAGAGGAGGCAGCTGCGGCGGTGGCGGCGGCGCCCGTCGCCCGAGCGCGTAGAGCGGCGGCGGCAGCTCGGGGGCCGCCGCTGCCCCGGCTGCCATGAGTTGTGCGGCGGTGATGTATCACCCCCAGCCGTATGGAGCGCCCCAGTATCTGCCCAACCCTGTGGCAGCTGCAACCTGCCCCACAGCTTACTACCACCCGGCGCCCCAACCTGGCCAGCAGGTGAGTCACCGACCGGGCAGCCCTCCGGGGGCGGGGGCGAGGGGCACCGAGAGTATCTGTCTGGGACTCGGGCGACGTCCCGCCGGGACGGGCGGCGCGGAGGATGCTCTGGGACCTGCGGGAGCGCCCTTGAGCAGAGGGAAGGGACGAGCAGCCTGGTGGACGGGTGGGGATTCGGTGTGAGGCATTACCTGGCTGGGGGCTTCATTGAGCTGTTGTCACCGGAGCTCAGAGGCTGCTCCTCATAGCCACCTTAGCCCTTTGGGCTCAGTTCTCTGACACTCACCAAGGGCATCTGTCTTAGGAGTATGTGAGTAAACTTCCTTTTAAATCAAATATTTTGTTTTCTTTGGAAAGGTGGAGTGTTTCAGGGTTCTCTTGATTAAGAGGATAAAATGTGTCGCCGACATAGGGGAGGCTACCTGGACAGAGAGCTCATGGAATGACCTTTCTGGAACTTTTATGGAACAGAGGTCTAGTGTAACGTCTGTCAAATGTTACTAGAACTTCTCTGTAGAGTCTGTCTTCTTATGACTGTGACTTAGAGGGCAGGAATTGATCCCAAACTTCCTCATTCATTTTTAATTCCATCAAAGCACAGAGATGTTATAGTTCAGCCTAGTGGAAGTGTTTCCCCGCTCAAGAGGTAACCTTGGATCACTGGATGCTGGGTCTTCATCAAGCTGAGAGTGACCGAGAATGCTGTGGATAAAAAGGGCTCTGGAACCAGGGAGATGATACAGTTCCTTTAGAAGGGAGAGTAGGGTGTGGGGGAAGTTAGCACTAGGTACCCCTGGACATTCCTCTCTGGACACCAACAGAATGTGTGTCAGGCCTTAGTTAATGCTACAGAGAACACATATGTGAGTATGTGGCACTAGCTTGTACCAAAGTAAGGTCCTCAGACTCTGGGAATTAGGGAATTAGGGTTGAGTTGGTGAGATTTAAAAAATACAATTTATGCACTCCGGAAATTACCATCCACAGAATTTATTGATTGGGTTTTTAAAAATTTCTTAGGAACCATATGTTTTATTGTGGTCTTGAGGGTTTGGCTCTTTATTATAATTTACATAATTAATTTTGATTTCTGTATTCCCTTTACCTGTTTCTTTGCTAGATTTGTAGGGCTACTCTTCGGAAAGAAATCATAACTTCAGTGTAGAATTTAGGGACTGTAAAATTCAGCTGATTCTGGAGCACATGCCCCAGAGTTATCTGCAGAACAATATAAGCTTAACAGGACCAAGTAGGGCAAAAGAGAAAGGAACCCCATTTTATTGCTATCATTTATTTATTTATTTTTTAATATTCAGGAGCTTTAGCATTTGAAAACAAGATTACTTTTAGGAAAGAGAATGGGAAAGCATTTTGTAATTTGTGGTCAATGGTGATAGATTTAAAACCTTTTGGTTATGCTGTTTGCTTTTCTTTGATTTTAAATATAAAAGATATAAGTAATGGAGAAAACCAATTGGTACAAATTAGACAAGTGAGGCAAAGAGATACTGGATATCATTTTTATGTGTTTTATAAACACTCAGTCCCAGATGAACCACCCTATTTCCTCCCTTCCTTTCCTCCATCTCAGAGACTGTGGAGGCTCTCAATTGTCAATTGGAATGTGGACAAGCAACAGACTCAGAATTACTAAGCATACAGGAAAGTATTTTTCCCCTTAAAAAATAACTTGAACTATAGAAGTTATGAATAGGGTTTTGTTCTATAGAACTGTGAAAATAATTCCATTAATATATGAATCTGTGGTGGAGGTTAGGCTTATAATACTCTTGAACTAGAAAATAAAATTCAGTATCAGAAAAATTATAAATTACTGATCATAAAATTCAGTTTTCAGTAAGAAATAACTCTAGTACTCTAACTTGTGTAATAGTGCTGCAACTCAATCCCCAAATATCATTCTTTTGCTGAGACCATCAACAAACTGAAGAATGAGGTTTCTTTTCACCTGAATTGTCCACATTGACAAGTTGCACATAGTAGTAAATGTCACCTTCACTACACTATAGGGTTCCGTAGGTATCGTTCAAGTAGATAATTGGCTGAGTCAACTTTAAGAACTTAGCTGAGAGGTGTGCTTGGAAATTTTCATGTTACTTTTACTAAAATGGCTTGTTGGAGGTTATTTTTTCTGATGTTGTTAAGTAAAGAAGTAGACTATAACTGGCTAGCGAAATAAAGAGACTTGATAGTGTAACTACTGTTCTTTTTACTGTCAGGAGTTTATTTTGATGACCTATATTTTCTATTGGAAAAAAGTAAATCAGGAAATTCTTATCAGGCTGACAGCATTTTTAGACTATGTGGTGCGTGGGTGAAGTGGGACTAATATTGACTTGGCTGGCCCTAATGCAGTCATCCGAGAATACATATTTTGGTTGTTTTTTACATTCCATAAGGTTTTATCATTATTATCCATGAAGATTGTTTTCTCCATCCATGGGAAGTGACCCCTAATAGCATCTTGCCTGGGAGACAAAAATAAAGGCTACCACTCCTACTGCATTTGAAAAATTGATTTGTTGAGCACAAAAAAAGAAAAGCAGAAAAAGTGATAGAGTTATAAAGAAAGTTTCACGGTCATTGATAAAATGTTAGAAAAAAAAACAAGCTTTTCAGCTTTGTATTGCTTCTGTAATCAGTTGTAGTGGTGTATCTTTGAGCCCTCAAATCCATATAGCTCAGAAGTCCTTGTAAGTTAGTATAGCATAATGGTCTATTATGATGGATTTTATCCAAAGGTGTATTTTTCCTCTCCATGTATGATCATATAGCCGAAAATTATTTTTGAAATAATAGAATATCATCCTCCAGGCATGTGTACTCTGCTTTATCCTTAAAAACACGGATGTGCACTTGAAATTTTAAATTCAGATTTTCGTCAAGCATACTATGCATTGTACGTGGGTAATAGGTTGGTGTCTTAAAAACACAGTTAACTGCATATATATCGGGCGGCACTATGTGAATCAAAATAATTTGTAAATATGTCTGCAGAGTAAATTTTATAGTCCCTGACATTAATTCCTAGAAGTTGCTTGGCTGTGAGTAAATCTTCCAGTGTGCTTTATCCAGCCAGGATTTGCTGAGAGATGCTAAGCTCCCTGGTCCACATGCCCACCATCTCTTTAACATCTCCTCAAGAGAACTCTTGACTCAGTCTCTCAGCCCATGCTCCGGAGGCATGATGACACTGCAGAACGTGTCCAGAAAGGAATGTGCTTGCATTCTAACAGTGACAGTAGGAACTAAGAAAAACAAATTTCCAAATATGTGTCAGGAAAAATTGAGGGAAATGACATGAAATCATAGATTCCCTTCATACCTGGGGGACTTCTCATCTTCAATGTAGACAGTCTGTTATTGTCTAAATCTGCCTCCCCCCTCCATTTACTCATAATGTCAACACTAGAAAATTACGTAAAGCTTTCAGAATCGTGTCGTTTATAGATGAGGTGGTGAAAGCAGGAAAAAAAAAAAAAAGATTGCCAGTTTTCTAATTGTGCATAGGGGCTTTTAACAATTACACTCCGGGTTTCATATAAGTTAGAGCATATTTACTCAGTCCTCTTCAAGGGGGACAGCTGGGCGAATCTGCCTGCATGCTTTCACCTAAAAGAATTAAGTGCTCTTAGGAGGCAGAACTCCAGTTACAAGTTTGTAAGGAGTTTGTTTGTTTGTTTGTTTTTTCCAAGCTATTTCTCTGGACTTTGGCGCTTTGGTTAGGTCATAGAATGCTCTCTAATAAACACCCTGAAAAAACATACTTCAATCCCTCCTTTTGCAAATGGGAGAATGGATGCTCACAGGGCTGAAGTGGCTAGTCAAAGATTTCAAAGCTGATTGGTGACAAAATTAGGACCATCAGAAGCCATGCTCCCCAACGTAGCATCTTTCCACCATCCCATGCAGCCTCCGAAGCTTTTTCCTTTTTTTTTTTCTTTTTGCTATTGCACAATAGGCTTATTTTTGTCTTTAGTGCTCCAAATCAACTTTTTGATAAAGAAGATTAATATGCAGTAGATTCTTTGGCCTTGGAGCTTGAAATTCTTTCCAAGTCCTTGGTAGTGTACTTTTTTAGTTTAGGCATTCCAAAGTCCTTTTGAAAGCATTTGTATTATGCTAATGACTTTTGCTATCCATTCTGCATCCTTCGTTGATGAGGCAGAATATCCACTTAGCAAATGAACGTTTATTTATTTTAAAATAATCTTCAGGAAGTGGTATTAACAGTCAGCTTTAAGTGCCTCATATATTACTGTTATTCCAATGTAAGTTTAGATTCATTAAACGGAAAGAACACAATTAAATCCTAAATAGTCTCAATATACAGCCAGCTTATTTAAGGTGGAGGATCCAATTTTCTTGCAACTGTAAGCAAGGACTTAAGTGGACTTATAAGAATTCATACAGGACTTCTTTGAGAAAGAACAGCCCCTATAATTCCACACTACACAAATTAACTTGACTGCACAGACTTAGAAGCTTAAAGTGCCCCAGAGTTTTATGCTCCCAATAACTTTCCAGCCAGAAAATTCAAAGCTGGAGAAAAAAAAAAATTAAACTTTAAAATAACTAAACTAAACTGTTGTCTCTGGCAGTCAACCAGAAGAGAGATTACAATAACGATAGAAAGGGAAGGCTTGGAATCAGTAAAATCATGCATGGTGGAGATTTGTTCACCAGGAAACCAAATGCCAGGACAAGAAGACACTCTTTGTTTTGGACAAATGCAAGGAAGTTTTAGTTCACTTCTCACTTAATAAAGTCTCCCATCCCATGAAGTTGGGGATGTCAGGGACATGTGCCACACCAAAGGAAATAAGGGTGTTCAGAGGGAAGAAGCTTGCCATTGTGCACAGTGACTCTGGGTTATTGCTGCAAAGATGCTGAGCTGATCCCTTTGGGTAGTATATATATTTCTGTCTTGTTACCCTTCTGTGCAAAGGGAATGTTCAATGAGACTAAAAATATTATGCTCAGGATGCTCAGGGCAGAGCCTAAAGCAAACTTGTGCATCAGACTTCCTGTCTGTCATTTTAAAACTTGGGTGGTAAAGTTGGATCCCATTCCCATAGGCCCTGTTTCCAGCTAGCTTTAAAAAAAAAAAAAATCCCAAACTAATTCATCCAGTAATAGATAATAATTTAAGGTATTATCTCCAGAAAAATATTTTCATTTAAGAAACAAAAGCTGTCTGATACTTGAATTTCAGGTTCTGGCAGACACAGTGAAGGAAATAATTTTGGGCAAAACTCTGCCCCAAATCCTTCA